AATGATAAGATGCTTCTACATCCCACCCAGAAAATATTGTCCTACTGCCTCACCTCAACCCTCCCCCATCTTTCCTTGGGTTAACTGAGCCAGCAGTGGATGGAAATAAAAGACATTAAGTTGAATCTTTCATGAAAATCGCAATTCTTATTTCAATGTTTTAAATAAGGAAATATAGTTCATAAAATCACCTCCAGAAGCATCAAGTAGCATCTTCAGCATGGATCGTGGACCCAAAGTAGTACGAATAATATCAGCAACAGCCTGTTAAGGACGATCCAAAGTACAGATCAGATAAGTTCTTAAGGATGTCAGAAACAAACAGTCCAACAGCGTAATAGACATCCATTTAAATAAAGTTAGCGAGAACTGTGAGGATGGAGAAATTAGCCAGATGACAGAGATTTTTCAATTAAATCCTATCCTAAGGACATTTCGAGAATGCTTTCAGGAAACTCAGAAGCCTATTAAAGCTTGCACGTTAATCCTAGTCATCTTAGAGCTACACAAATAAAACAACCTCCTCCTCCATACCAACCAAAAATAAAAGAGAAAGAAAGAAAATATACTCCTTGACGTAAAAAGTAAACTTCAATTCAATAGTCAAATGATACAAATTGCATGTCTAACTCAATCAATTTACATCTTTGTTACCCTTGATGATGGACAGACTGAAAAACATGAGCAAAAAGGAAGACAAGAATTCACGCTACCTTTGACGCTTGAATATTGCCATAGTGAACCTTGTTGCCAGATTCCCGCTTCAGCGAATCCTCTGCTCCATGAAATTAGAATTACCCATCAGCCAAAGAAGAGGACATAATATGTTATTGGATAACTTAAGAAAACAAAGCCTCGAAAACAGTGGCTTTTCCTTTTGCTGACAGTACGACTACTGGTAACTACGATAGCTCGTTCACTGTCCACCAATCCCGCTTTTCACTCAACAATAAGCCTTCATTGGCCGCCTAAGATTGCACCTTAAACCCAAAGCTAGCATTCTACCAATGCTTTTAATTACATATATCAAGCTTATTTAGTATACAANAAGCCTTCATTGACCGCCTAAGATTTCACCTTAAAACCAAAGCTAGCATTCTACCAATGCATTTAATTACATAAATCAAGCTTATTAAGTATACAAATTTCTGTTACTCTAATCAACACAAAATCCTCCCTTTCCTCCCCCTAACCTGGAAGAATACAAATGGAATCCAATCTTTGTATGAAGGAATATACATAACGCGGATACTTAGATTCATCAAATTAATTTATATCAAACCATATAAATTAAAGTGTTAATAAATTTTTCCAAACTATTCACGCGTACAAATCTAAGCAAGAAGAAAACAATACTTACTGAGAACGAGGACTGGGGACTGCATTTTCTGCTTCGATCTTAACTCCGATCCAAAGAAAAGTAAAATACTTGCACAGAGAGCAACTGTTGATAATACTGAGAGTATTAGGGCTTTTCGTAACCTTGTGTTAAGTTTTTCAAAGAAAAAGAGAGGTGGGAAATGAACCAACCGGTCCGGTTCTAGGTTAAATGTAGCCGACTATTATTTTTGGGCTTATTTGCACAAAAGGTTTTACGAATCAGGACTTTGTCGTTTCAGATTTGACATTAACGTCCTCATGTAAACGTTTAAGTGTGAAAATAGCCCTTCGTGTCACCCATCCCTAACCCAAAATGCATTAACCCTTGTCATCTGGCTAAGATCGAATGATAAGTGCATTTTTGTGCACTTATTCGGGCCCATTTTACTAGGTTTTTGTGTCATTTTAGTATGGTATTTTACTTAACTTATGTTACTTTTATCATGTTTCAGTTTTGG